CCAGGGAAAGGACGAGGTGTGTCAATATCTATAAACAATCAATCTATTTATCGATAAAAAAAACAATAAGTGAACTTTCTTATTGATATTGATCAATGACTGTTTTGATAGATATTTTGTTCTTATGAATCAATGAGTTATTTATTGAAAAATTCAATAAGTGTAGAGAGGCCATCCGAGGAGTAAAAAGGTCCCCCGTGGTGTAGAACGATGAGTGAGGATAGACAGGACATCCCGTAGAGTAGGGCGATGATTGTGTAGAGAGGATATCCCGTAGAGTAGGGCGATGAGTGTGTAGAGACGACACGCGAGTTGTAGGGCGATGAGTGTGCAGAAAGGACACGCGAGTTGTAGGGCGATGAGTGTGTAGAAAGGACACGCGAGTTGTAGGACGATGAGTGTGTAGAAAGGACACGCGAGTTGTAAGGCGATGAGTGTGTAGAAAGGACACGCGAGTTGTAGGACAATGAGTGTGTAGAGAGGACACGCGAGTTGTAAGGCGATGAGTGTGTAGAAAGGACATACGAGTTGTAGGACGATGAGTGTGTAGAAAGGACACGCGAGTTGTAGGGCGATGAGTGTGTAGAAAGGACACGCGAGTTGTAGGACGATGAGTGTGTAGAAAGGACACGCGAGTTGTAGGGCGATGAGTGTGTAGAAAGGACACGCGAGTTGTAGGGCGATGAGTGTGTGTAGAGAGGACACACGAGTTGTAGGGCAATGAGTGTGTAGAGAGGACACACGAGTTGTAGGGCGATGAGTGTGTAGAAAGGACACGCGAGTTGTAGGTCGATGAGTGTGTAGAAAGGACACGCGAGTTGTAGGGCGATGAGTGTGAAGAAAGGACACGCGAGTTGTAGGGCGATGAGTGTGTGTAGAGAGGACACACGAGTTGTAGGGCGATGAGTGTGTAGAATGGATACGCGAGTTGTAGGGCGATGAGTGTGAAGAAAGGACACGCGAGTTGTAGGTCGATGAGTGTGTAGAAAGGACACGCGAGTTGTAGGACGAAAGGATTGTAGGACGATGAGTGTGTAGAAAGGACACGCGAGTTGTAGGACGATGAGTGTGTAGAAAGGACACGCGAGTTGTAGGACGATGAGTGTGTAGAAAGGACACGCGAGTTGTAGGACAATGAGTGTGTAGAGAGGACACACGAGTTGAAGGGCGATGAGTGTGTGTAGAGAGGACACACGAGTTGTAGGGCGATGAGTGTGTAGAAAGGACACGCGAGTTGTAGGTCGATGAGTGTGTAGAAAGGACACGCGAGTTGTAGGTCGATGAGTGTGTAGAAAGGACACGCGAGTTGTAGGGCGATGAGTGTGTGTAGAGAGGACACACGAGTTGTAGGGCGATGAGTGTGTAGAATGGATACGCGAGTTGTAGGGCGATGAGTGTGAAGAAAGGACACGCGAGTTGTAGGTCGATGAGTGTGTAGAAAGGACACGCGAGTTGTAAGGGGATGAGTGTGTAGAAAGGACACGCGATTTGTAGGACAATGGGTGTGTAGAGAGGACACACGAGTTGTAAGGCGATGAGTGTGTAGAAAGGACATACGAGTTGTAGGACGATGAGTGTGTAGAAAGGACACGCGAGTTGTAGGACGATGAGTGTGTAGAGAGGACACACGAGTTGTAAGGAGATGAGTGTGTAGAAAGGACACGCGAGTTGTAGGACGATGAGTGTGTAGAGAGGACACACGAGTTGTAAGGCGGTGAGTGTGTAGAAAGGACACGCGAGTTGTAGGACGATGAGTGTGAAGAGAGGACACACGAGTTGTAAGGCGATGAGTGTGTAGAAAGGACATACAAGTTGTAGGGCAATGATTGTGTAGAGAGGACACACGAGTTGTAGGGCGATGAGTGTGTAGAGAGGACACACGGGTTGTAGGATGATGAGTGTGTGAAGGGAGGACACAAAGGGTGTAGGACGATAGGTGAGTGTAGGGAGGATACATGGGGTGAAGGACGATAGGTGAGTGTAGGTAGGACACATGGGGTGTAGGACGATAGGTGAATGTAGGGAGGACAGATGGGGTTTAGGACGATAGGTGAGTGTAGGGAGGACACATGGGGTGTAGGACGATAGGTGAGTGTAGGGAGGACATATCGTGGTATTGGACGATGGTTGAATGTAGAGAGGACACATGGGGTGTAGGACGATAGGTGAGTGTAAGGAGGACACATCGTGGTGTAGGACAATACGCGAATGTAGGGAGGACACATGGGGTGTAGGACGATAGGTGAGTGTAGGGAGGATACATGGGGTGTAGGACGATAGGCAAATGTAGGAAGGACACATGGGGTGTAGGACGATAGGTGAGTGTAGGGAGGATACATGGGGTGTAGGACGATAAGCGAATGTAGGGAGGACACATGGGGTATAGGACGATAAGTGAGTGTAGGGAGGACACATGGGGTATAGGACGATAGGTGAGTGTAGGGAGGACACATGGGGTATAGGACGATAGGTGAGTGTGTAGGGAGGACACATGGGGTATAGGACGATAGGTGAGTGTGGGGAGGAGACATGGGGTGTAGGGCGATGAGTATAGAGAAGATATATCGTGGTGTAGGACGATAGGTGAGTGTAGGGAGGACACATGGGATGTAGGACGATAGGTGAGTGTAGGGAGGACACATGGGTTGTAGGACGATAGGTGAGTGTAGGGATGACACATAGGGTTTTGGACGATAGGTGAGTCTAGGGAGGACACATGGGGTGTAGGACGATAGGTGAGTTTAGGGAGGACACATGGGATGTAGGACGATAGGTGTGTAGGGAGGACAGATGGAGTGTTGGACGATAAGTGAGTGTAGGGAGGACAGATGGGGTTTAGGACGATAGGTGAGTGTAGGGAGGACACATGGGGTATAGGACGATAGGTGAGTGTAGGGAGGACACATGGGGTATAGGACGATAGGTGAGTGTGGGGAGGAGACATGGGGTGTAGGGCGATGAGTATAGAGAAGATATATCGTGGTGTAGGACGATAGGTGAGTGTAGGGAGGACACATGGGGTGTAGGACGATAGGTGAGTGTAGGGAGGACACATGGGTTGTAGGACGATAGGTGAGTGTAGGGATGACACATAGGGTTTTGGACGATAGGTGAGTCTAGGGAGGACACATGGGGTGTAGGACGATAGGTGAGTTTAGGGAGGACACATGGGATGTAGGACGATAGTTGTGTAGGGAGGACAGATGGAGTGTTGGACGATAGGTGAGTGTAGGGAAGACACATGGGGTGTAGGACGATACGCGAATGTAGGGAGGACACATGGGGTGTAGGACGATAGGTGAGTGTAGGGAGGATACATGGGGTGTAGGACGATAGGCAAATGTAGGAAGGACACATGGGGTGTAGGACGATAGGTGAGTGTAGGGAGGATACATGGGGTGTAGGACGATAAGCGAATGTAGGGAGGACACATGGGGTATAGGACGATAAGTGAGTGTAGGGAGGACACATGGGGTATAGGACGATAGGTGAGTGTAGGGAGGACACATGGGGTATAGGACGATAGGTGAGTGTAGGGAGGACACATGGGGTATAGGACGATAGGTGAGTGTGGGGAGGAGACATGGGGTGTAGGGCGATGAGTATAGAGAAGATATATCGTGGTGTAGGACGATAGGTGAGTGTAGGGAGGACACATGGGGTGTAGGACGATAGGTGAGTGTAGGGAGGACACATGGGTTGTAGGACGATAGGTGAGTGTAGGGATGACACATAGGGTTTTGGACGATAGGTGAGTCTAGGGAGGACACATGGGGTGTAGGACGATAGGTGAGTTTAGGGAGGACACATGGGATGTAGGACGATAGGTGTGTAGGGAGGACAGATGGAGTGTTGGACGATAAGTGAGTGTAGGGAGGACAGATGGGGTTTAGGACGATAGGTGAGTGTAGGGAGGACACATGGGGTATAGGACGATAGGTGAGTGTAGGGAGGACACATGGGGTATAGGACGATAGGTGAGTGTGGGGAGGAGACATGGGGTGTAGGGCGATGAGTATAGAGAAGATATATCGTGGTGTAGGACGATAGGTGAGTGTAGGGAGGACACATGGGGTGTAGGACGATAGGTGAGTGTAGGGAGGACACATTGGTTGTAGGACGATAGGTGAGTGTAGGGATGACACATAGGGTTTTGGACGATAGGTGAGTCTAGGGAGGACACATGGGGTGTAGGACGATAGGTGAGTTTAGGGAGGACACATGGGATGTAGGACGATAGGTGTGTAGGGAGGACAGATGGAGTGTTGGACGATAGGTGAGTGTAGGGAAGACACATGGGGTGTAGGACGATAGGCGAGTGTAGGGAGGACACATGGGGTGTAGGACGATAGGCGAGTGTAGGGAGGACACATGGGGTGTAGGACGATAGGCGAGTGTAGGGAGGAGACATAGGGTTTAGGACGATAGGTCAGTTTAGGTAGGACACATGGGGTGTAGGACGATAGGTGAGTGTACGGAGGAGACCTGGGGTGTAGGACAATAGGTGAGTGTAGGTAGGACACATGGGATGTAGGACGTTGTGAGAGTATAGAAATGACATCCGGGGTTACTGTTCTCTTTATTTCAATTCAGTGTATATGTAACGGCGCGTATTGTCAATGGGGTTCAATCCTTTGCCACAGGGAAAATGTATAAAAGAAGTGAATGATCTCTCTAGATATAGACCTATCATTGAATTCTTGGACTCAGAAAGAATTTATGCTGAAAGGCTGGGCCGGCTATACTTAATAGAATGAGTATAGGTATTGGAGAGATATATAATAAAACATGAGGCTAAATCAGTGAGCAGCAGCTAGCGATGTGGAGATCGTGAGAGGATTCTGTCAATATTCTGTACACTTGGGTATATTTCGTAAGATCATATTCCGAAGCTATCAGAAGCTGTGATACACACCACGTTCACACTCACATCACTTTCACTGGAGTGATTATTGCCGAAAGGGGAAATAAGAGTGAAAACGAGGCTGTAGGTATTCAACATGGCGACCATGACATATAGACAACTGTGCTTGGAGCTATTTTTACTAGTTTTCGTCGTCTGTATAATACAACCTGGCAATTTTGAGACTCTTCCAGAGTTAAGTGTGTAAGTATAATATAATAGTTACTTTATAGCTAATATAGTCCTATTTTTATCGTCTAAACATCGCTTTGTCAGCCGCTGGACCTCACCTCGATACCCGATCCTGCCTGTGGACGGTTCTCGTTTGTAAACAGTCGTCATCGGCCACAACATTGTGTCCACTAATAAAAAGAATGTGCTCATTTTAAACTAGGTATGTTATCTCGTGAAATAATTTTCATGTCACTACGCCAAACGTAAACAACATTCGGAATACAGAATTCGATCTGTCACTTGAGATGTCCTATATGTTCATGTGTAGCTTTCTGTCAGTGCAGGAGAAGGTGTTTGGATTTGAGGTATCGGTATTGGAAAAGCTTTGGTATGTATCATAATTTGGACATACTAATTGATAGTTCTGTAAATAAAAACAGTAACTTACAATTCAACAACTCAGTAATACATTAATTACATTTAACTAGCTATACTCTGTAATAGGAAGGAGTGAAAAGAACACCCTACACAGCTTGGGTTCAAACTAGCGTTAGTTTGGTATCTAGCCGGACACTCTACCGCTCAATTAAAGGGAAATTCCCACAAACTGAGGCTAGTAAGTTTACATGAACCCTCAACTTCTACATCAGTATTTCTGCAAGGTGTATCATGACAATTTCATCCACTTAAGTTTAATTCACTGTAGAGCATCCAGTGTATATGACTCTTAGATTCCATGGGCTGTGTAAATGATTGATGATATTGAGTTTAAGATAATTTCATGTTGTCAAAATGAAGTATATACTTACAAACACTATGATGCTGCTTTGAGGGGGTAACTATTGTTTTCCTGGTCTTTGTTTGAGGAAAGTTAAAGGGGAAAATTGCCTTGCCATTCAAATAGAAAAAATGATGTATCCTACTGATATCACTCTTTTTTTCATGCACTGCTGAAAATATGTCCAAACTTCTTAAGATAATGGTATGAAGGTCAAACTTGAAATGTATTATACACATAATAAGAGAGTGTTAAATTAGGGATTATGACTTCCGAAATACATTTCATCAGGTGGCCTACACGTATTTATTTCAAAAATTAGGAATAGCTATATATGTTAATGCAGATGATCTGCACAGCAGCCTTATTCCCATGACTTTGCTTCAGGAGATTCAGATGGTTATAGAATTGGCATGATATCTGCCCAGAGCTTTTCAGATCCCTTGTTCTAACGCAAACATTAGACACCCAACATAATTCAGGTTATAACCTTGGAGAGTAGAAAAGTAGAAACACTGTCATATCTAGATCTTTCAGTTAGATGTACTATTAAGAATTTCAAACATCTGTTATCTAACATAAAAAAGATGTTTTTCAAAACAATATTAATTGATCCATCATGGCAATATTGCCATTCAAGCAAAGTCCAGCAAGCTGATCAGAGCAATTGGCCATTTTCAGTTATGTTAGGCCAATGTCAAAAATAAGGTGCACTAGTATTCTATATAAGATTGATAGAAAATAGAAACATAGAGGGTTCGGTTTATAGGGGCTCACTGGGCCCAGGCAAGGGTTATCCCTGTTTTTAATGTAGAGAAACCCTCGTTATCACAAGTGATGTTGTATACCTGTTACTCACTGACAGATGATGTGTCACAATTCATAAACAGCTGATTGATGGTGTGTTCATTGATTTTATGAAATCATTAATATATGTATATGTTGATTGACCATATCATGTAAAAAAGAAAAAAGGAAAAATTGAACATATATTTGACATACATTTAGTTATATATAGTCTTTCAAAAAGTACACTTGGTGATTTCTTGATGAAACGAGATGTCTGGGCAGTTTTCGGAAGACCTTCATTGGTAGGTTTATATATAATTATATTGTCTATGTGAATCATGTCTTGGAAGTAATACTGATAGACAGCTGGAAATCCTAGACATTATCATAGTAACAAATTGTCTAATTACACAAAATGAAGACAAAGCACAGGTGAAAAATTGTCTTACTTTGTCAGTGCTGTTACAATGTCCAAAATATCATTAGATGAACACAATGCATATCTACAGAAATATTATTGATCCGAAGGTTGCAGATTTGGATTTACTTGTCGTAATTGTACCCCAAGTGGTATGATATATTTAACATATATTTAGAAAGTTAAAATTTGTAGTTTCTGCTATATATATTGAAAAAAATAACAAAACAAATTGTTTAGCATCTGAAGATTTCATATGAAACTGCTTAGGCTTTACTCATCAGAAGTGTTTCTGATTTTATTATTTTTCTATAATTAAAAAGATAAAATCAACACAGTATTTTGCTAACATTTTCAGTCATCACTAGTATACATAGTGGCCATGAAAAAATATTTACACAAGCAGCCTTTGATGTTAGGAGCTGACAGAAATGTAGTGTATTACATTCCATTTACTTAATTTTAAAGCAATACAAAATGAAAACAAATATATCAAAAATTCCTCAAATTAAATTAGGATATAGCATATACATGTTTTAGAATTGTTGACAGGTATGATGAATTGAAACTGAAATTTTACATAAACATCATTCTTATAGTGAAACTTGTCACAATACATATTATAATTATTTTATTTTATCATCTTTTACAGAAAAGGAAAATATTGCTGTATCTCTGGTTGCTACAATTAATACATGAGATAGTATATATGTTGTATCTATTGTCATTATACAGTGATCTCCAATGTCAGATAAAAAGGCTCAATTCATACACCAATAGACCACATTGTCTTCCTCAATTAAAAATGTTTTGCAATCCTGAACAGTGTAAGATTTAAAACATACTGGTACAATATCATTGCATGCTGTGGACTCATACTTTTCATTTAAGATTCACTGAAATTTTGAGAGTCTACTATATATCTTAGCAATGAGGCTCATTGAAATTTTATAAATTGTAGCAAAAAATCCTACAAAATTTACTGAATTGATTAGTCATTTCAGCTACCTTGTAATATCATTTCACAAGACTAAGGGACACCATAGATATATGACATCATAAGAGTATCATTTAAAGCTTGTCATATCTATGATACTGACATATTATATGACAAAACATCAAAGTTATGTGATAAGCAATTTTTGTGGAATATTTCTTATGAAAACTGTGATTTAACATTTGATGATCATGTTGATCATCTGCTAATCTCAGGGGTAGCCCTGGAAAATTACCAAATTTAGTCATTTTCCCAGATTTGGTACATCTCCTGAATTGGGGAGATATTTATCCTTGATCTCAGTTTCTCAAGTCATGAAAAAAGTTGTTTATTTACAGTGTTTTTATCCGTGTATTCAACATTACATTGTGTAACGCTGTGCATCAAACGTTTACATGATTGATTAATGTAACTTCAGAATGCCTCTAATAGATGTGTGACAACAATATTGTTTACAAATTTGTGGCAATGGAAATTCCTTTTTTCCTTTGGAAGGTAATACTTATTTTTCTCAAATAAAACTATGTGAGTTCACATGATCTTGATCAGTGTTAGTATGTCTATACCACAGAGGAAATGTTCCATTTTGGGACCTGCTGGTGACACAAAAAATGGCAATTTATTAGCAGATTAAGAACAAAACGGACAAATGAGAAGAGATTTGAATGTATTTTGGCTAGTATCATTGGACCTGAACATGCTTTTTAGTTCATCTGACACTGTCGGCTGTGCATAAACTTTCCATTCAAATGACTTCTTCTCAATAATCGAAAATGCCCAGGGTGTGGATATTGGGCCTGTAACATGAATGGATGAACGACTACCAAATTTGTTATATTTAATGACCTTGACCAACTTTCATGGTCACTGGGGTCAAATATGTTGAAATGCATAAGCAACTTCTTCTCAATAACCTAAAGGCCAAAGGTCTTGTTACTGGGCCTGTCCGTAGCATGCTTGGATGAAGGACTACCGGAATTGTGCAAATAATTTACCTTGACCTATTTTCAACGTTAGGGTCTCAAATATCTCAAAATCTTTAAATAACTTATTTTCAATAATCAAAACACCCAGGGTGTTCATATTGGCCCTGTAGCATCCTGTGATGAAGGGTCACCAATTTTGTTAATATGGATGACCTTGATCCATTTTCAATGTGATAGGGGACAAATGTGTAAAAACCTTTTAATGACTTTTTCTCAATTACCAAAAGGCCCAGACAGTGCTGATATTTGACCTTTAGCATGGATGGATGAAGGGCTACTAATTTTGATCATATATCGACCTTGTCAATTTTTCAAGGTAACAGGTATTGAATATGTCTAAATCTTCCAACAATATTTCTCAATAACCAAAAGGCCTAGGGTGCTGATATTTGGCCTGTGGCATGCTGAAATGACGGGTTACCAATTTTGTTCATGTGATTGACCTTTTTTCTTTTTAAAGGTCAAAGGGGTCAAATGAGTTAAAATCTTCAAACAAAGTCTGGCAATATGAAGATCGAAGCCTGTTGATATTGGTTATTTTACATTAGCGGATGAAGGGCTACCAATTTATTCAAATAAGTGACCTTGAATTTAATTAAAGATCCTTTCGGTCAAATGGGTTGAGATCTTAAAATTTCTTTTTCAAAAAGCAATATGTCTGGAGTAATTGCATTTGTGTTGTGTATGTTTAAAGAATATGATTTCAAGTCTGCAGAAAATGTCAATTTGAACCAGCAATGTCCTCAAAGCTTCAGAGTAGTTGAGCAATTTGTTTTAGGCCTTTTTTTCATATATAGGTCTTTATAATCAGATTACTGTTAAGGCCCATGGGCCTCTTGTTGCAAATGATGTTTTTGCAACATTTCTGTTTCTGTCTGGGGGTCTAAATGATTTTTAAAGTCATTGTATGTCTGAAAAACACAAGCAAGGTAAAAGTGCTGTTAAGACATTAAAAAGCTATGTGAAAACTTTAAACACGTTAAAAAAGCACAAACTCATATTTGTTTAGAAATTGGACATGATACAACATGTTCATTATTATGTACAAAACAAAAAATGATGACTGAATGCACTGACTTCTGTCCATCTGAGGATGTTTTGGCTGCTATGACGAGAGAAGCCTCTTTGTACAATGCAGAACACAAATCGTTGTTGTATCAAAACAATTCAGTTTGACTAGGCAAGCATGAATAAGTTACTTGAATAAAAGACCAAATCACTGTTTTTATTTATTTTCATGGCACCAAATTGAATACCAGTTTTTTATCCAGAAAGAGAAAAATGCCACAAAACATGTCACATATTTATTCCTTGATTTGTGATCAGGGAGATCTCTCTGATTGGAGGTTTCAGGGAATGACACCTATGGTTGATCAGTATACTTCAATAATGATGGACGGATAATAAAATATTAATCAAGGAAACAAAACCATAATTTATCAACGGAAAATTGCAATGATGATTAATTGTTAGAGTCAAAGAGATTAATGGTGTAAGAAATGTACAGTTTCCTTGTGATTCCTTTAGGGGTACAACTGGCAGCCATGATGGGCTTTTAACAGGAAACTTACTAGTGTTGATATTGATATGGAAAGTATCAATGTAGAGGTTTACACTAAACATTGTGTTTAAACTGCAGTGAAAGGTCAGAGTCATGGTGGATCTATTTGTATGGTTTTTTGGAGCTGCTATTTTTACTATATCTTGTATTAAAAAAGTAGGTCATTTCCATACATTCAAGTACAGTCACATGGAATCAACCAATCACAACACAGATAGGTTATATAACACATGTATATTGAAGCAAATTTATGTAACAGATGGATAAAATGGCAGGACAGCAGTCATATGATAAACTGTTATAGGTATATTAGTTTTGATGTTTTACAACATTAAAAATGTCCATACCAGGATATAGTCAGATAATATAGATAATTATTGGAAAAATCGGGAGATAAAATTTAATTACTTACCCAGTTATAAATCAGTCACTGGAGGTATAACCTAATATACTATGTATTTTATACTGCATACCAGTAATGATATGGATATAGAAGCAATTAAATGCCTGTGTTCATAAAATATCCTATTGTATAATTATGTGGTATATAGTTACTGATGTACAAGTTTACACAGAAATAGCTCTATCATCCACACCAAAAGCTTAGCAAAATTAAGAAAAAATTATAAAGTACATGTGTTTAACAAGGTATGCTTCTTTTAGGCTGGGCTGGCATATTTTGTAATTTTGAATTGGGATAAGATATATTTGTATTGCTCTACAGCTCTCACATTCTTTCTAAAAATATCAACAACAAATTGTATTAACCGTTCACAAATGTCAGGACTCTGATCAGCCAGAGTATCTATGCTGTACCCTTTTATCACAAAGGCTTAAGCCATTTATATGTATGCTTAAAACAACTCTGTTCCATTTTGAAGTGCTTTAAAAAAATTCTACTGTAGAAAATTATTTTGAACTGTGGTTTTCTGGGCAATGAAATTCTTTGTTCTACCAAGCTTGATACAAGTTTACACACAGTGAAAATGTCACTCTTAGTTTACCATTAAATCTATAATTGTGGACACTCATCAATCCAGATATGTGATATCATGTGAAAAATTCTAAATGCAAAAATGTAGGATTTTCTATTTGGTATGTGAATTTATGAAAGCCTAAAAAATTAATTTTAGCAAGCTTTTGTTTGGCTAAAATGAAAAAAAATTGTGATAAGTTTAATAAATCACACATCAAATTGAAACAAATTTAATATCTTTTTTATTACAGGGTCGATTTTTCAAGCAAATATGGTAGAAAATTGACACTTTTATGTCTAACATGATATAATTGTCTGCTTGATGTCTACAGTCTCCATTGTTACATCATAATGTCATCCTTGCATGATTGTGTGACGACACTAAACGGTGTAATATGAAACTGGTATATTCACTGAATAACAAGGCAATCGTGATAAAAATCAATATTCAACTGTATATTTTACCGGTAACACCTGTTGTTGTATTCTAGATGATAACATAGTGATAACAGCTATATAGTTAAATTGTCAGTGTGTTAGTATTGAAGTTGATATGATGCACAAAATTCAACAATGCAGGTTATTATAAGGAGGACAAATTACCACTATGACAGTGCAGACTGGTTCGTTTTCTGATAAACACAAACTGCTGCTGGTAGGGGGCATCGAAATCTCACACCTCAGATTTCCACCAGAGTTTACACAAGACAATGTTTGACCGACTAAGCTTTTGTGATCCTCTACATCAACTGTACTAGGTTTCTGATAAACACAAACTGCTGCTGGTAGGGAGCATCAAAATCTCACACCTCAGATTTCCACCTGAGTTTACACAAGACAATATTTGACCGACTAAGCTTTTGTGATCTTCTACATCAACTGTACTAGGTTTCTGATAAACACAAACTGCTGCTGGTAGGGAGCATTGAAATCTCACATCTCAGACTTCCACCTGAGGTTACACAGACAATACTCAACCGGCTAAACTTTTTTGGTCCCCTACATATACCATACTAGCAAGTGTTGTCTAGTAAGGACTTAGGGTCCCAAGCATTGTCTGTCCTGTAGCTGATGTCCCATTTATTTCATGGGCCTTAGGGTCCATTTTTGGCTGGGTTGCACATAGTGCAAATCTTGGTTATAGTATGGTGAATGTCGGGTGGGTGGCTGGGCGGGCCGGTGGGGAAAAGGGGTACCAGTTTTGTAGAATCAACTCCTCCTAGAGTTTTTGATGTAGAAGCTTGAAACTTTGTAGAATGTTTATATATATATAGATATTGAAGATGTGCACCTGATATTATGGATTAATTCCGGACATTTTTCTGGATTTTCCAGGCTTTGGAACAAGTCATTTTCCGCAGTTTGGCAGGGAAGGGTCCTAGATGTCCATTGTCTATTTTTTGAACATCTCTGAATTAAAAATGGCTGCAACTTCTTTCTTCAAATGCCCTTCTTCTGCACCAATTCATAAAATACAACCAAATTTTCTCTCTTATAACAAATATTCTACATACTCAACAAATGAAACACCTTTAACTGTCTTATAAATACTATATAACATTGCACTCATCCTGCAACCCGCCAAATTGTGGCTTTGCCCCATTTTTTTGTCAGGGCTGATATATGAGAATTCCCAGGATTAATTGTTCATGAGGTTATTACCATGGACAGTACCTGTGGTACAATGTTTTGTTGGTGAATGTCTTCATTCTGTTCATTGGTATTGCAATGTTATATAGAACACTCATTATCCAGAACAATGAAGGATAGCTATATTGTATCATTAAGTATGCTGATTCAATGGCTTTAAAAAGGAGAGTGTTAGTGTGACCTGTACATTGTGTAAAATATGGATTCTGTCAGAGCATATGTCTTTGGCTCATTTGGATAAGCTGTGGGCCATCATGCAGGAAAACTGGATTTGATTCTGAGGGCACTTGGCAGGAATGTTTTTCCCTATTCCATTACATATATATTTACCTGTCACTGTTGCTTCATTTCTTCCAGAAAAGATGTAATTACAGCTACATTGTTCGGTGAAAAAATGTGAAGAACTATAAAATCAGATATTTTGGCAGAGCATAATTTTTGCGGTTTTTCAAAAAAAAATTTTTTTTTGTGGTTACATGTATATATGCTTCATTTCATATATAAATATAGCTCAATAAATCTGCTCCTACTTAATTGAACAGTTTGTGGAAATATTCTATTGTTGCGTTAGAGTACCTATGAAATAAATGAAAATAAAACCCAAATGAAAATGAATGAGTTCACAGTATGCATTATGTATTAACCTGTAAGCATTATTACATAGCTGGAGTTGCATCTGTATTGGTTCTGAGAATTTAATTGAAACTAAACATGTGTACTCTGTATCGCTGATATTACATTTCAGTGTGCAGACATGGGCAGAGAAGTTGGATAAGGAGTTGGAAAAACTTGCAGAGGATTACACAGGCAGCAGTGCGCTGACGACGGTAAGGATGAAACACAACAGTGACACAGTTCCTTTAGGCTAGAACATTCCCTGATGATTCTTGTCTGATAATACATACAATTAAGCAACCCCTTTGTTGTCGAAAGTTTTCTTTAACCTGCTTAACAGAAGGTTTAACCAATTAAGAAAATTGATAAAAGACTAATTAAAACCTAACAAAGAGTAACCAAGAAAACTGACAACAAGCAGAGAGTTTAACAAAGAGGAGAGATATATAGGGAGTAAAAATGTATTGTGTAGACTGACAAGATGGCTGGTAAAAGCCTGATAAATATGAAACACTGAACTGACCACTGTAGGCTGTCTGATAAAGAGATAGGACTAACAGCTAGTGGACAGTCTGACAAGGAGAAAAGAAAACTGACCACTGTAGGCAGTCTGATAAAGAGATAGGACTAACAGCTAGTGGACAGTCTGACAAGGAGAAAAGAAAACTGACCACTGTAGGCTGTCTGATAAAGATATGACTAACAGCTAGTGGACAAACTGACAAGGAAAAAAGAAAACTGACCACTGTAGGCTGTCTGATAAAGAGAAAGGACTAACAGCTAGTGGACAGTCTGACAAGGAAACTGACCACTGTAGGCAGTCTGATAAAGAGGGAAAAGGCTGACAGCTAGCCAACAGTCTGACAAGGTGAAAATAGAACTGACCACTACAGGCTGTAGACAATGGAAGTGCCAGTTGCAGGATAAAAGAAAGGAAAGAGGTAGAGAGTAGATTTTGGTAAAAAAGGGATGAATGGTGATGAAGAGGAGATATAGGTAAAGACAGGAATGAATGATGATGGAGAGGAGATATAGGTAAAGACAGGAATGAATGGTGATGAAGAGGAGATATAGGTAAAGACAAGAATGAATGATGATGGAGAGGAGATATAGGTAAAGACAAGAATGAATGATGATGGAGAGGAGATATAGGTAAAGACAAGAATGAATGATGATGGAGAGGAGATATAGGTAAAGACAAGAATGAATGATGATGGAGAGGAGATATAGGTAAAGACAGGAATGAATGATGATGGAGAGGAGATATAGGTAAAGACAAGAATGAATGATGATGGAGAGGAGATATAGGTAAAGACAGGAATGAATGATGATAGAGAGGAGATATAGGTAAAGACAAGGATGAATGATGATGGAGAGGAGATATAGGTAAAGACAAGGATGAATGATGATAGAGAGGAGATATAGGTAAAGACAGAAATGAATGATGATGGAGAAGAGATATAGGTAAAGACAAGAATGAATGGTGATAGAAAGGCAATAGAAGATTTGCATTTAGGTGCACACTACTGATACATTTGAATGTTGAACTTAGTCTATCCCAATATTGCTGTTTGTGTTTATGGTGAGGATTGATGTGTAATCAGACTAGGCTACATTTAGGTACAGCCTATATATTGTCTGACAGAGGCTAAGCATAATAGATGTCTTGCAATCAATTACCAACCTAGAACGACCAGATTTGCTTCTCCTTGTCTGTAGACATAATTAGTAACAAATTGTCATTTGTCTGTTAGAAATGAACACACACTCAGTACATTGTACTGATCATTATAACTATCTGCGCTTAAAATCAATTGTACACTACTTCTTATTTGGTATCTGTCGCATTTATACTGGTAAAATTAGCTTTATCTATTAGTAGTCTCAATTTCATTTTTCTACAAATCTTAGGGTACAAGCAACAGAAGTCTCAATTTCTCTACATATCCAAAGGTACATGCAACCTTGTTTGCTGGAACAGGGGCTGATTTCAACAGTACAGTAAAATTGTATATATTTCCACATGGCATTCTTTTCATAGTTTTTCAAAATATCAGTTTTTTCGAGGAAACTGACAAAAGTCCCCCAACAAAAAGATTAATCTCCCAACAGAAATATATACCCCTGTTTAGGATTTTACAGTTTGTAGAATGTTACATTATTTGGACAGTTTCAACACGATCAATTACAGTTTTTTTTAACTGACTTAAAGTTTTACAAGTATTCCCAAACTTTATGATCAGCTTGTTCAACAGTTTCGATCCGTACATACTAGGAATTTTATTTTCCTTTTTAATTAGAATGGTACATTACTTTTTATTCTAAAGCATCTAATGAAGCCTTGTAGTGTTCATCACCACGAACCCTCTAGAATATTCTGTGATTTGTTCGGAGAGCATGCACACATACATTATTAATGATTAAAGGGTGTTATTAAAGTGAGTCTGTTATGTGATATAATTACAGGTCTAGCGGGATTTTTTTTTACTTTTCTGGAAACTTTATGAAGGGTAGCCTTTCATGAGATTGATTAAAAAGGCTGCACTACAGACAGTAGGACACATTTCCCTTTTGTTACATATTCCTGGTACAGATTGAATTTAAGTGTAAAACTCACTGGGGCTATATGTTCTACAATAAGGAGATTTTGCATGTTGTAACCCACATGACCAGTATGAGAAAGTAGAGAGCGACTGGTCTGTGATCCTGTTTTAACTTTAGTAATTCTAACAGTGTATTGATTTTAGTGAGGAGTAGAATTTTACTTGGATTTTTTAACTTGGATTGATGTTATTAGTATAGATTCAATCTGATATCCTTCTGATTAAAGTAGTGTAATGCAGATGTAACTCATTATAAACTCCGTACATTGATATGTGATCTGTAGCATAAGCTTTATGTAAAGCTGTGGTACAAGATGTAGGTAGTCTTACTTGTAACGGTTTTATCTAATTAAAAAAAAATTGATGGCATGCTGTGACGGTTTCTGTATTGTACATACGTATGTGATGCCTAAACAATTTTATAGGATGAAATTGATGGTCTGGTAGTTTATATTTGGCATACAATTTCTTGTATTATCATTTAAGATATTTTCACCCCTGGGGAGAGCCCCATTTTTAATTTTCTGGTATGTTATCAAGTAGCCATTATCAAATTTTATGCAAATTTTAACCATACGATGACAAACCTTTAATGAGTTTGTGTTTCATGGTGCATATGTTAAGGTCAAGGTCACCATTACTATTCAAAGATTTTTTTTCAAACATTAATACTGTATTTTCTGGGTTATAAATCGCACCAATATATAAGTCGCACAGTTGATTTTACATTTTTTTTCCCAATTTGATCCACATATAAGCAGCACTCTTACGAAGTGGAAACCGTTACATTGACCAAAGTTCAATGATATAACTGACAATGGAGGGCAATTTATCAAGATTGTCACTGAAATATTCACAGATAATCTTTAATTTTTTTTTGTATATTTTCAAAAAATGTAAAAAAAAAATAGCAAAATTAGAACTTGTTTGGCTTGGGTGCCTTTACAGATTGTCTACGCATTACGTACAGTTTACTTAACAATATCTCCAATGGTGTCTGTACTGTTAAATATTAGCAAAGACCATTGCATGCTGACCAAATTCTTATAGTCCCAAATTATTACTTCTTGTAAGTTACGTATTGTAAACAAGCATAGCTGTCATTCTAGAATTTGACCTATAACCCGATGACCTATCAACCCCAGGATGCAAAATGCTATTGAAGACTTCTGCTATGGCTTTGAAGTAACTGCAAAAGTCTAGAAGATATTATTGTGATTCATATTAAAAAGATATGATTTATTAAGTCCATGAGAATGTGATTTTTATTTCAATCTCAAATCAACTTGTACGCAATTGCAAATGATGGTTCTAGATGATCTGTTTTAGTCACAAACACATGACAGGCAGGTACTCATAAAAAAACCTTGGTATGGTCTAGTACTGGTGTATGGATATTTGTTTTTCCATCTGACTGATTTTTTTTTTCATCCACGCTGTCGAATCATGATTTTCTTGGGGGATTGATTTTTGTTAAACTTGTGGGCACTCTAAATCCACCTCTAAATTCTTACGTGTCCATGAAACAATGAATAGATAAATGTTGATACAGACTATGATACCAGTGGATTTTGTGAGCGAGGTTTATCCACAATATCAAGTGCCCATGAAAATTTATGTTATTGGAAATCCATGAAATTTTGAGCCCCTTGAAAATGTGTGATTTTGGAAAATCCACAAAATTTGAGCCCATGAACAGTTTAGAAAAACACTGAAATTTGAGTCCATGAACAGTTTGGAAAAACACTGAAATTTGTGCCCACAAACATTTTGGAAAAAACACTGAAATTTGAGCCCAGATACACTTTGGAAAAACACTGAAATTTGAGCCCATAAATATTTTGGAAAAACACTGAAATTTGAGCCGCAGGAAAAGGAATGTTTTTACATACTTTAGTTTCGTTGTTTTGTTGTATTGTTTATTACTTTTCTGTATTATACAGGGTTACCAAAAGTTTTATGATGATCGAATCATGAAGTTTGGCCATGTAAACAGTATGACCCTGGTAACTGAAATGGCTGAGAAACTGACGACAATGTTGGGAGGAAAAATGGAGGCTCTTCGAGTAAGTGTTCACAACTAAAATTATTGGCATAGTAGTTGTATTTTGCAATTTGATTTGACTTAAGATTGAGAAACAAGGACTGTATTTTATCTTTCCTTTTACAGTGGACTTTATTACAAGACAATTTGTCAGGAATAGCTGAGTAGGTTTTGACTAAATTGATCTGGAGCATAGATGCATGAAGGTGCATGTAGTGTTTTACATCAGAAATTAGTCCCCAAAGGGATTGAAACCCAGCAGGGGATTTTATTATAAATATTTCAAATCTGAAGTCCTTCCATATATAGACCGAAGAAATTTGACCAGTTTTGGTCAGAATCTGTAATAATCTAGTCCATTAGTAAACAGCAGCAGAAAAGTGTTTTTTTTTTTATTGAAAACTGTAATTACGAAGATAATGAGCAAGCATGGCAATTTAACGAGTGTAAGCAGGTTTTAATGGGTTTAATAAACATTATATAGCGTAAGGCTTATTCTGGTGGTATCATTTGCTTGATCTATTATGTCTTGCATTGACTTGGATATCTTGCACAGGTTCAGATGACAGTAAATGTCAGTGTAAACAACCTGCTATTATCCAGATAACTTTCATAATGGTGACTTGTAATTTAATTTTCCCTGGTGTAACTTATTGGAGTTGCCGTAATGCAGGTTCTCCGGTTCTGACAAAGTAATCAAATTTTGCTCCCCTTTTCTGATCCATTCAGAGTGATTGTCATATCATTTTCAAATAAACAACATGTCGTGTACTGATAAATTATTCACTATTTCATCAATGTAAAAACTTCCACATTTTCGATAATAGTTTGTAAAAGCATTCATTGTCTGAGATAAGAAATCTGAATTATTTGAAAATGGTGATTGTACTTCAGTGGTAACATTGTTCAAGCTTTCTGTTCTCAAAATATTGTGCTAAAATATAATTGCACTAATTCGAGTTTTTGTATGTTGTTATGTAACAAATCAGTATTAATTCTTGTGAACACACAAAATTGATAATGTCCTAAATTTTTATGTGACAAAATTAACAATTATATTTACAGTATATGGTTCCCAACACCTAGAACATGAGCCTTAGTTAAAGGAAAAGGAATTACCTGAAATTAAAAAAAAGCTGAATTGTGATACCAAAAACGTCGAGGGAGTAGTCCGATGGTTTATATCAAAATACATGAATTTTATGGTCTGGTTGGTCGGAAAGGTTATATGTGAAATGTTGCCATTGTGTGACATGCATTAATGCATTTGTAGGTCAACTATGGTATGTCTTGGTTCAGTTCATATAGATGTCAGTTTGTAAAGGTTATTTTTTGAGTGACAGCTTTAAAAGTCAAGGTCACTATTACTATAAATAGAAAATCAATTTCTGTATGAAAACTAGAGATGCTTGCTTTTGCGAATGGAACCCAAACTTCATAAAGTACTTCCTTACCGAAAGTGTTTACTTAGGATTGTTTTACAGTTTTGAAAGTCAGAGGTCATTTCACTGTAACTATATTTAGAAAAATCAGTTTCTGTGTGATAGCTCAAATTTGCTTTTGCCAATCAAACTCAAACCTCATGCAATGCTTTTTGGTTGCTTTTCAGCTTTGAAGGTCAAAAGTAAAGATCACTATTACTATAGATAGAAAAATCAGTTTCCATACAATAAGTCAAGTTTGCTTTGGCCAATCAAATTCAAACCTCATACAATGCTTCCTTACTAAAATGGCTTGCTTTTCAGTTCCTAGTGTCAATGGACAAGATTACTGTTACTCTAAATAGAAAATTGGTCTCCGTGATATAACTTGGGTTCCTTTGGCCCAATCAAGCTCGAACTTTATACAATGCTTTCTTACTAAAAGTGCTAGCCAGGGATTACGTTTCAGATACAGAGGTCAAAGGTTGAGGTTATTGTTGCTATAATGAAAAATCCATTTTGTGGAAGAAACTTGAGTTTGCTGAAGCCAATCTTACTCAAACTTGATGCAAAAAAAAAAATGGGAAATCTGGGCCCGTATTCATGAAACCATTCTCATGCTGTAGCATAGATTTTGTGCTCAAGCAAACTTTTTTATGATTCACCTAAATCATATAAAATAATAAAAATTTAAACCTTTAACATAGCTTTGACTTGAAGTCCTTTCAAAATTGTTTTGAAATCTTCTGCAAAATTTGCCGTATTTATTAATTTTTAACTTAAACAAGACGTAAAGCTTAAGCACAAAATTCATGCTTGAGCATGAGAACGGTTTCATGAATACGGGCCCTGTTCTAGAGTTAAAGAGTGAAAAACAAAAGTAAGTTGTACATACTGATCAAGAGTGAAATGGGTTTAACATACTTACTGTTTCCTTAAAAGAGGTGTTTTCACCCCAAAGTAATTAAAGTATTGCCAGTGTGTACAATATGTAACTTTCTAGGAATAGATAATTGAAAGTGCCATTTCATGATCAAGGAAATATGCATGTAGCTCCTTGAAATGACATACTATTTTACATTGGTGTGACTAAGAAATTCTGAAATCATGCTGTCAACTGTGTGAAATATGTGAATACCAAGGATTTGTAATAACACTTGTGTGAATCACATGTATTATATTATAACTAAGATTGATACTTTCACCTATATCATTGACCTAATTATTACAAGGTTATTGATTATCTCCCCTTTTCTTACAGTCCACTTTAGTCAACCCCTTTCATGGTCATCATAATTACCTATGAAAGTGGATTAGGTGTTGTTGGGGGGATTATTTGAGGATGAATATGGTTCTTCAGATCAGATGAGTTTGAGTCTAAAGCATTGCAGGATGAATGTTTTATAAAGGAAGTTGTGGCCCCCTTGAGGGCAGGAGGTGAGCATCAGAGTGGGGAAATTAACGAAAACGAAATCTGATCAAATGTTACTCCTCCTGAATGCAGAAAGAGAATTTTACAAAGTAAATTAGATTTGTAGCCTCCATGTGTAAAAAAATCTTCATGTTGTGTTGACAGAAACTGGGAGTTGTTAGAACATAAAAGATGGTAACTGTCAGTTACTTCCTGTGATTCTACAGCTTTTCACCATGGTTTTAAACTTTAAACCTTTGTTTTCTCCTCTTGGTTTTAACATGTCAGTACTATACATGTTCACAAGCAACATGTAACTATTGAAAAGTGCAGAAAAAGACGTGAACTTACTGCTTTCTACAAGCTGACCCTTGTTTTGTATACAAAAATTCTTTTGAGCAAAATCTAGTTTCCATTGTGGAAGATTGCAGGTGGTAGTATATTCCAGACTGGAACATTTTCTGGTCAGCTTTAAAGAACCCTTTAAAACCCCATTTTAGGGTCTGCCATACAAGATATAGATGACATTGTTAAAATATGATACCCTTCTCTGAAAAGGTTTGGGGATAGTTAGATGAATCGGAGTAGGATACATATATTCTTGGTCTCTGATCATTCATTGACTGTTTGGTTTATCAAATTTCTATTATTTTCAACATTTCTTTTGGTCAAATAGTGTTTTTGCCTATGCTCACCTTATACTTCAGTTCATTCTTTGGTATTGTTTTCATGTTGCTGAAGAAAATTAAAAGTTTACAATTAATTTCCTCTTTTTTTTAGAATAATGGCCAACCACAAGTTCTAAGTATAACATAAATTTTCGCCCCATATTTCCACAATTTCTGCTTAAGTTATCTGTCATTTCATATATATGTTTTGTCTACATTATATTACAGTGTTCACTTTGTCTGAAATCCTGTTCAGAATTAAAACAATTAATTGTTTTGATATGAAACAGTGTACAATGCTGTGCCAGTTACTGTTCTCAGAAATGACAGGATTGACAGGAAACCTAAAATACATAATTGTTTCTGTGTCCATTACTTTGGGTGTGGATGGCATTACATTGATCAATTATTATTATCTTAATGGAAAGTGAAGTGCACAAATGGTGTATAATTAATTTAAACAACAATATGTTGATGTTTGTTATTCAGCACCAGCTTTCAATGCAACATATATGCCTGTTTGTGAAATGTTTGCCACCTGATAACTAAAAGTGATGTCATCCTAAATTGATTGACTGTTATATACACATGCATGTTCTAATGTAAAACCATTTTCTGTCAGTATATGACACTTAATACTTTCTTTTTTTTTCTCTATGTATAAAATGTATTATAGGCCTGGGTAGATAAGTTAAAATAGCATAATGGGATGTTTTGTTGACATCCTAATGGTGGACAGTTAAACATAACCATAAAAGGCCCAACATTCGGAGAACTCTCACTTGTTATGCTGAACTTTAATGAGTTAAGGAATTGGATTGATTCTTTTACATCTGTTATTAAATTAATGTAATGTAGCTGTAGAGAAGATCTCACATTTTGTCATTGGTGTCAGGGGCAGATCTTTGTAAGATTTGAACTTTACTTATTAATAAACGAAATCTCTGTAAATGTCCTACAGAGGGAGCTGTACCATAAATATCTTACAGAGGGAGCTGTACTATAAATGTTATACAGAGGGAGCTGTACTATAAATGTCCTACAGAGGGAGCTGTACAAAAATGTTATACAGAGGGAGCTGAACTATAAATGTCCTACAGAGGGAGCTGTACTATAAATGTCTTACAGAGGGAGCTGTACTATAAATGTTATACAGAGGAAGCTGAACTATAAATGTCCTACAGAGGGAGCTGTACTATAAATGTTATACAGAGGGAGCTGAACTATAAATGTCCTACAGAGGGAGCTGTACTATAAATGTCTTACAGAGGGAGCTGTACTATAAATGTTATACAGAGGGAGCTGTACTATAAATGTCTTACAGAGGGAGCTGTACTATAAATGTCCTACAGAGGGAGCTGTACTATAAATGTCTTACAGAGGGAGCTGTACTATAAATGTCATACAGAGGGAGCTGTACTATAAATGTTATACAGAGGAAGCTGAACTATAAATGTCCTACAGAGGGAGCAACACTATGTCCTACAGGAATGCAGAGTCTTATGATTCAAATGTCCGAGAG